CCTCCCGCCAACACTCCTCCGGCGAAAGCACGCCCGCCCACGGCACAAACACCAACAACAACACCGAACAAGCGTACTTCGACCTCCCGCCCTCAAACTACGACATGGACGCCCTCGCCCGCACGCCCAGCTACAACACTGCTGTGCGCACGCCCGCTGGTTCGCGTACGCCTGGCGGCATGGATATGGATTTGCCGAGCTACGAGATTGCGATGAGTAGACCTAGTAGTCCTAGTAGGAGTCGGGGTAGTAGGGGGACTACCCCGAGTCCTACAAGGAGTTTGGATACGTTGAATGAGGAGACGTATCGGAATACGCAGATGAATAGTCGGAGGCAGAGTCCACGGACGGCGAGTCCGAGTAGTGAGGGGAGGTAGGGGGGGTGGTTTCTGTGGGGGATGGTTGGTTGGGGAGAGGGGGGGGTTTGTTGGGTTTGCTACGCGGTTGTTTTCATGGTATTTCATCGCCTGCTTCCCCTGTCATCTTTATGATTACGTTCACGAGCGCATGTTAGACGCAGAGACGCATATCTCTTTCACTTCAGCATTTGTATAGATATAGATTTAGACTTCCACTTTTGTTGGGCTTGTTGTAGGGCTTCACCACTCTCGATTGGGTTGGACTGGGTTGGATACAGAGGTAGTAGAGGAGGGAGGATACCCCATGCGCATCGTTTTCTTACAATGCATAGTAATTACACATATCATTACACTCCATTCATCATCTATCATGTTTGCTTGCTTGATCTGCATCTGCATCTACCATCCTCCATCTTCAATATCAACATGACGTAGCGAATCACCTTGGCATCGCATGACTCGTGTCTCATCTCTCCATGGACAGCCACTTACACATTCATTCCCCCACGACTGACTCAATGCGTACCCTTCTGGGCTGAGACATGCAAGATGTACAGATAAGAACAAGGTCACGCGTACTACGTAGATTGTGCTAGATCTTCCACCTCTCACACACGCCAAGCTGTCATCGGATCGTGGGCTGCCCAGGTGTCGGGTAAACACCGGGATGTTCGGGCAGATGACCGAGATGTAGATTGTCGATCCATGGATTGGCGAGCTAGTATGAGTTTGGTAGTGTTCCCGCTGTGTTGGCTGCACGTATACTTCCGAAGTTGAACCACGAGTTTCTGAGAAGTGAGGACCATGCAGGTCTTGATAAGTAAATTGTTTCTTGGACATACTTGGCATATACTGACTCAAAGTACATGCTTGTGCAGAACAAGCAGTACGGTACAACTTCATCACCAAAAACTCATCTCTAGGTAGCCAGTCCAACATATACAACTTCCTTACTCATTATCCCATGTTCTTATATACTCTTCCTCATCTACATCTACCCATCCTATACCCACACCCACACAGTATTTATCCAGTCCTATATCTATCCCCTCACACCCACCCTACGAAGGATAATGCTCAAACAAAAACCCCGCCGCCATCTCCGTATCCCCCTCGGTTGCATTCAACGCCGCCAGCGCCTCCTGCCTGCTAAACCCCAACACAACCAACTTCTGCACTTCCTCATCTGGCCAAGCCGCGCGCGCCGCAGGTAGATTACTAACCATGTTGCGGATCTGATCAGCCGTGATATTTTGGAGTCCACTTCCACTTCCACCACCCATTCCGCTTCCACCGCCTACCCCACCCACCCCACCCATCGCCGCTCCACCAAAATCATAAATAGGCGTTTTATCTAGATCAACATCCGTTCGTAGAGACAATCCAAGCGCTTTAACCCACCCCGCCTGCACAGTCTCAGTATCGAGATTGCGGTCGGTGATGTATTCGATATCATCATCACAATCCCCCGCATTAAAATACTCCCAGCCCATCATCCCCCCAAACCCCCTCCCCACCTTATAATAACTCTGCCGTAACTGCTGAGCAACCACCGCCAGCCGTCCCACATCAACATACCCCCCACCATTCGCCTCATTCGTAACCACGCCCATGACAATCTTCTCTGGTTTCCAGCCCGCGGCGATGATGGTGTCGTACCACGCCGTTGTAAACGCGTCGCCCCAGCCGCAGTAGAATTGCGTGTTGTACCAGGCTATTTCTTTCCCCCAGACGCTGCATTCGAGCTCGGGGTAGCTGAAGCCGGAGAGATGGCGGAGCGTGGGGTGTAAGGGGTTGGGGGTGGGGCCGCTGGCGAGCATGGGTCGGGGCGGGCGGAGGTGAGCGGGGATTTTGGGGTCCGGGATTAGGGCTGTGGCGACGGGTGCGAGGGTGATTAGGAATTCGGGGCCGAAGTCGCTGCGTAGACGCGAGATGAGGCGGGTGGTGGTGGAGAGGGGGATGGCTTCTTCGATGTCGAGGTCCAGGCCTGAGAGGGAGCGGGCGGTTATTAGGGCGGCGAGGGGGGTGTAGTATGCTTCGAACTGTGGGGATTTATTAGCTTTATGGTCTTGAGGGATGATGGGATGGGATGGGGTGGTGGCATACACTCTCTTCATCTCCGCTCAACTTCTCGTAACTCCCCTTTGCTGCTCCACCCAGCATACCCAATACCTTGACCCCACTCCCTTGTAACCAATTCACCTCGCCCCATAACTGATCAAACCTCTTATCATCCGGGCTATGATCATTCAGCGTGATATTCCCAGGGCCATCGTTGAGGTGGATAGCCGCAACAATCACATGCGTGATGCCCGTGTTGTTCGTGAGCAGCGGAAGCAACGAGTGGTAAGTGCCGTTTGAGTCGTGGAAAGTCTGGTGGTAGACGATGAGACGTGGGCCGGTGGATGGCGGAAGGAGTTTCGCATTGGGAGTCATTGCTGAGTCAGTGGAGGAAGCGTGGTGAGCAGACCGCCCGTGGACGGATTGCAGACCTGGTACGTGGACGCGTTCCTGCAGGTCCGTAGGGCTGAGGTGGGGCACGCGCGCTACGTCATTCATCGGTGCCAGGGGCATCATCGCCGCTAGGGGCATCATCGCGAGCCAGCACAGGAAATTCATAATGTCGGTGTAGTTGTATGTAGTATTAAGGAACGACGCACAAGTGCGAATTTTTATATTCCATCCCTCCTGGCATCAGCAGGACATGCCTGTGGTGTACTTTGGTTGTCAAGCTGCGATTTTACTGAGATCCATGGTTGTGATACACTGAAGCACCATGAGCCACAGTTCCACTTCATGGGAGAAGGACAGCCTGCATACTCAAATATTGAGGACAGAACGTGCTGGAATAGACGTAGAGTAGTCGTAGTACACTGAAACCAACGCTCACATTCAACACGTGATATCAGTGTGGTTGTATGTAGTATTGCATGCATGTACTCAGTAGCATACCCTGACCAGAACGCCATTTGCTGTCCGATAAAGACACAGCCCCAATCCTTGTAACCAGAACAAAGCAGGAAAGCTCCTAGACACTAACGTCTCGTATTGCTCACCAATCCTGCAGACCACTCAAAGCGTAACAGTCGTAGCATCCTCCTGGGACAGGCTAGTGGTAGCCGTTGCTGTATTCGTGTCGTGTGTCACCGTTCATTCCGCCAAAGTACGGGTGGATGACCGTCTGCTTTGCTGAGATGCGGCCGGCGGGGTCGTAGACAAGCAGCGCATCGAGGAGATCAAGGCCAACTTCGTCGAGGTTGGTGACTATGTTTGCGACGTCTGTCCGGCCCCACTTGGGGAACGAGGGCTTGAAGTCGGGGAAGGAGGTGACGCCAGGCCAGTCTTGCTCGTTGGGTGTGCCGAGGATACTAGACATACTTAGTATATGGAGATAGTATAGGGTGAGAGTGCATACCGGAAGATCTTGAAGATCTCGTCAATTTCCGAATCACCAGGGAACAGAGGCTTGCGCGTGCACATCTCGGCGAAGATGCAGCCAACAGACCACATGTCGACACCAGTTGAATATTGGCGACCACCAAGAAGAATCTCCGGAGCGCGGTACCATAGCGTGACGACCTATGATATGTCAGACGACGACCCCAAATCACATATGCAGTATCCATACCTCATGGGTGTATGTTCGCAGCGGAACACCAAACGCACGCGCCAAACCGAAATCCGCCAACTTGAGATTACAGTCCTTGTCAATGAGCAAGTTCTGCGGCTTCAGATCACGATGCAGCACGCGATGAGCATGGCAATACCGCACGCCCTGACACAGCTGCATCATAAACTTCTTAACCATCTTATCGTCCATGCTCAGGCTCTGTCCCGCCAGCCCAGACCCCTCCGGCAGCGCCTTGCCCCGTCCGCCCTGGCTGACCGGCAGCGCCTCCATGTACTTCTTCAGATCCAGATCCAGGAACTCGAAGACGAGGTAGAGCTTGTGGCCGTCGGCGTGTACGATGTTGAGGAGGCGCACAATGTTGGGGTCGTTCATCTCTTTGAGGAGTGAGATCTCGCGGATGGCCGTCGAAGGGACGCCTTCATCTTCGGCTTCGAGGCGGATCTTCTTGAGGGCGACGATGCGTTGGTCTTTGGTGGTGAGGTCGCGCGCTTTGTAGACGACTCCGTAGGTTCCTGAGATTATGTCAGTAGGCGCATATTAAGCCATCAAGAAATAGCGTACCCTCTCCAACCTTCTCCAACTTCTGGTAGTTCTCCATGGTGGCGGGCTGGGGACTGCGATTGCTTCAGACGACAAGCGGTCAAGCGTGTTGAGGTGGATCGCGGGAGATGCAGTTTCGCCGCGAGTCTGTATTATTCCCGGTTCGAGGTGGGACGAGGGTATTGGATGCCTCTCGTGTGTACCTGTGGTTAGTACGTGCGGGCAGAGAGGAAGGTGCAGCGGGGAGCAGGGGACGAGGGTGTCTGGTGTTAGGAAATTCGAGATGTAAACACCCTTGACGCATCGGGCAACGCGCACCCGTCAGCCACAAACGCGAGCTTAGTCAACAATACCTCCCACGTTTCTACAGCCCCATCATTATCAACATCTACCCGTGGACCCTGCTCACAAATATCTACACATACATCCTCACTTTCCCAAAACTTTCTGCTGTCGAACCCACACGCAAAATGCACCACCTAGACCCCCATGAACGCCCTCCAGACAGCATACGCAACGTCTACAAAAAGTACCAGAAAATGAAAGCAAAAGACATAGACCTAGATGGCGACATCATCGATCTCTCCAGCGACGCCGCCGCGTCATCAAACCCCAAAGTGCGCGTAGTAAAGGAATACACCGCAGAAGACCTGACCGCCATTTTCCGTTCTTTCGCCGGTGACGGTGAAGACGGGGGAAAACTGCAAGCCACAGATCTGGCAAGATCGGTACCAGTGTATGAACACGAAGATATGCCAGGTAGGAACGTCCCGTGTTTTGAATAAATGAATTGTTCCACGCTTGCTCATCTCCCGATTTCTCATTTTCATACCTTCCTTCATACCTCAACTCCTAACACCTCCCCCAGGCCTCCACATAACCCCCTCCCTCCTCCCCCTCCCCACCCAAATCACCCTCTTATCAACCCTCCTTCACACGTCCCTCTCCTCCCCCACGCACCTCACAAACATACACACCCATTACACGCTCTCCTACCCCACCTCCCCATCCTCTTCTTCCCCCTCATCCCCATCCCCCTCATTCTTCTCCCTTCCCCCTTCCTCCCCCACTCCCATCGCCGTACCCCTCTCCCCCTCCATCCACAAACCACTCACCATATCCCAACTCCTAAACAAAAAGTTGCGCTGGACAACCCTAGGTGGCCAATACGACTGGACCGCAAAAGGATATCCAGATACAACACCTCCACCCTTTCCTCCGCAAACAAAGTCGTTACTGGAAGCCCTCTTCCCCGAGACAAAAGCGGAAGCCGCGATCGTGAACCTGTATTCTCCAGGCGATACACTGAGTGTACATCGCGACGTCGCTGAAACGAGTAGCACGGGACTTGTTAGTGTGAGTTTGGGGTGTGATGCGATTTTCGTCTTAGGGACGTCGAGTACGGCAAGTACATCAAGCACATCAAGCACAGTAAATACGGGAGAGGCGGAGGGGGGAGAAAAGACAGAGGAGAAGATCATAACGCTAAGACTGAGATCAGGCAGTGTGGTATACATGTCCGGGGAGTCGAGGTTTGCATGGCATGGGGTGCCTCAGATAATGGCGGGGACGTGTCCTGAGTATCTTCAAGACTGGCCCGCGTCGTCAGCAGAGGGGGAAGAAGATAATGAAGAAGGAGGAGGAGGGGAGTATGAAGCGTGGAGGGGGTGGATGGCGAATAAACGGGTTAATCTGAATGTGAGACAGATGTTTGATTGATCACTCTACACCACCCCACATCACATCACAACAGAACAGATGGAGATTACAAAAGCATTATCATGTATTAGTACTATTCAAAGCAAAAAGGGGTATGTATATATATCCACATCCACATCCAACAACCATCGCCCGCCCACTTCACCACCTCCCCATCAACGCACACCTACCACAGCGTAACCTTCGACCCAACATCCACATCCTCATCAGACGTACACGTAGCGATCATGAGACTTTTCCACTAGTATTTCCCCGGCTCACCAGGAACCGCACTCCCCGGTGCCGTCGTCGCACTACCAGGCACCGCAGACGCAGGCGCACTAGTATTACCACCCGTGACAGCATGGTCAGTCGAGTTAGTACCAGCACCCTCCAGACCCGTAGTCTGGATAGGAGCAGGTTGCGTCTTCTCCTCGGGATACATGTTCTGCGGGCTAGTATCGCCAGAAACAGGGCTGGTGGGAACGTCGTTTGTAACTTTACCCGCTGCGCCGCTGATGACCTGCCACCACTGCTCCGCAGCCTGTGGCGTGTGTGCTTTGAACGCAAATTCGTGTGTCATGGAGAACGCACCGCCGATCTTTCCCTTTGACACATCCTTGCCCTTGACATTAAACTTCTGTCCATTCACCGCACCGATCATACAATCAGGGATATAGAGCGACAGTTCGGGGACTGGGTCCTTAGCAAAGTCGTCGTCTGTCTTGAACTCGTGCAGGAACTTGGAGGGCGTTACGACGTAGTAGTTTGTGTCGTAGGAGCGCATGATCTTGCCCTTCTTTTCGAGCGAGCCCGAGATGAGGGGCTGCGTCGCGCGGTGGTTCTGGTTGGGGAAGCTGATGTCGGAGAGGGTGCGGGCTGGGGCCGCGGGGTCGATCAGCACGGTGTTGTTGCGCTGGATGAAGCCGTTCCATTCGAAGTCTTGGGGGATGCGCTGCGATGTGCCGACCATGTCGCCGTATGCGGCTTTGGTGTGCTCGGCTTGGGTGTTGACGACTTGCAGGAACTGGCCCATGCCGGACTGGATGGTCTGGATGATGTGGGCTTCGAACTGGGCGAATGAGTTCTGCACGCTGATCAAGTCCTGGCGGTTGTTGTTCTCCTCTTGGACTTGCTTGTGGAGGCGGTGGTTGACGCCGCGCTGGAGGATGTAGGGGTCGTCGGTGGCCTTCATGTTGCCGCTGTGCGAGTCGAAGACTGCCGTGTGCTGGCCGAGGAGCTCAATCTGCTTCTGGGTGTGCAGGCGAGCCTTGTCGACAGCCTTACTGCCCTTGCCAGCTCCCTTGGTGAGCTCCTTGCTCTTGTTCTTGATCTCGGTGTGGAGGCGGTCGAAGATGGGGAGGACGGCGCCCTTGAGCTGCTTTGCGGTCTCGTAGTGTTGGTTGGAGATGCCCTGCCATGGTTAGACAGAGAAATGTTATGTGATGTGGGAGAAGTCGTACCTGGGTGTTGGACCTGATGTTCTCGAACATGCCCGCAATACCACCGAGCGACTGATCGAAGTGGTGGCCCTCCTTCAGGGGATCCTTGACCGTCTGTTCAACGTCAGTAGCTGTATCGCTCTCGTATTGAGTCGTCGACCAACCTTCAAGACGCGCTCATACTCCTTGCCGTGTGCGTGGTTCGTCTTCTCCGTGGCTGTGACATAATCCTCGAGGTAGGCGACGGCGTGCTTCCAGGCTTGCAATCGCTCCGCAAAGAGCTTCGTGACCTGGAACACGTTAGGAACTTTCCCTCTCGCCGATCTCCAGACTGCTCACCTCTGAGGTGTCCTCTCCTGGGATGGCATCGTCGTCGGCAGATCGGTTGGTGAGGCTGCGCGTGGGCATCTCACTCGTGGCAGAGGTGGGCGCAGACATATTGCAGGTGTGTCGTGATACTGAAGAAACAAGGTGCAGTCGTGGAACGTGTCTTCGCACGTGTAGGAGGTAACGTTGTTGTTGCTGTGAAGCTCGAAGACGCGGCTAGCGAGATTTGGTTGGTGAAGGCGGGGTTCGCGTTCTTTCGGAAATGAGCCCGTGTCGTATGCTGCACGAGGGACTTTTATAATAAAGATATCTGGTTCAGTAGGATTATTTATTCCAGGGTAAAATCAGGGTCCAGGGAGGGGTTTAAGTTTGATTCAAAGCTCCGGGGGCGCATCTAGATCGACACTCACACATGCCGGAGAAGCAGGGTGCCATGAGGGTTTGGCTGGCCCTGTGACGTCAACGCTCGCAGCTTTAGTCTAGATCCACGCGGGATCTACGCCAGGAAATGGGTTTGGACTGCTGCTGCGCCACGATCCTAGGGGTGATCGCGGGACAGACCCTGACCACATGGTTACATTCAAGGTCGTTGACGTATCGTGGCTTCATGCCATTGCGCCCGAGTGTGAGAGGCTTGTCAGGGTCTCCGCCCAACGCCATAGTACCCCCACATTAGCACCGAGGAACGGCAGAGGCTCCGAAGGCTTTCAACGAGCACAACATTGCGCTAGGTCGAGGTTCAGGTCAGGCAGGTAAATTCCAAGGCTGTGAGTTACCCCTGTCGAAAGGTGTAGAGAAACTCAGACTTTGGTGGTCTCCACGAGGGGTCCTTATTTGTCATGCTGTCAACTTCTATGACAGCGTACCTGTTGCCAGTGTCTAATCAGGTTGAAACCTACCACGAGCTGAGATTGACGCCTGTGGTTATGTCAGAATTCGCGTCGCATTCTACTGTAAACATGCTAATAAATACTAGCGGCCAAAGAGTTTCCATGGAACCTAGGTAACGTGTACCTCCACCCAGATGATGTTTTTGCAATTGCAGAGTGCGACTCGACTTGTAGCCACCCTTATCGTTCAGAATCCGGTGACTGCCCAATTTGATCATATGTGCTTACTACAAAGCTGCATCGTAACAACCTGTACTAACCAGCATGAATGCTGCAACGTCCGAGCAGATAATAGCGAGGGTTTATGGTGTGAGTAGAACAGGGAGTTCTGAATAGTTACGTTCCAACATGACTTGTGTGGTGCATTTATCAGGTGAGCCGTCCCGCGAGTTGATTGGTATCATGGAGTCTGAGGGTGACAGCCCCAGTATCTCCATTTTCTCTCCTCGATTTGGATGATCTGGACGGGGCTGTGTGGTATGAATCCCAGGTGTCTGGAATGGGTACAACACTACGTTGCGAGTAGATCAGCTTGCACCCATGAAGCATGCTAATATTGGGAGTTAATCGGTATGTCTGCAGGGAGAGTCTTGACATCGTTCCCCATCTTGTGAATCCACTCAGTGTATTCCTGGATGTCTCCGCGGTGAGGGCAGCAACGGTTCTGGATCTGCCGCCTGAGGTCAATTGAATGGCGCAACCCCGTTCTCTTCTGCTTCGCAACGTCCGAACCAGTCACTATGGGGTTTCTCGCGAACTAGGCACAGTGACGAGTTGCAAAAGTCCGTCTTCGTCGCTGTGCCTCAATGAGACCTCACGTGGGCAGGATTCCGGTTGGGTTTTGTGTTCCAGAAATGTGCTGCAGTAGGAGCTTCTCTTCGGCCATTGCCTTTCCAAACTAGATAATGTCCAGCGATCAAGTTAGCAAAAGTGTTATGGAGTTGGTGATGTGTTGTGGCCGGGATGAACGGTCTCGGACAGTTGTCAAGGGACAACGATGACGTCGGACCGACCCATACTGCGACCCTTCAATATCCGTTCGTCTACGTTGAACCTCCGGTCGGCATGAGCGCCGCAGACGCGTTGGAGGCTTTGTATAGCAAAAACTGGGGAACAGGACGTATCTCCGATGTGAATTGGAGGCGGCAACCGCTTACCCCACATCTCGGCATACCGAATGCGGCTAAATTCAGCTGTCATCCGAGGTCGAGCTGGGATGTGGGAAGCATGGCATTGGAGAACGGCTTCATCCCCACACACTGCTCTTTGACAAATTAGGCTGTACATATAGGAATTGGCCCTCAGAGCATCAATTCACGACTAGAGAATATATCTTTGTGGTTACCACCATCAACGTGCTACCTACACAGTAGGAGCTGACACGCGCCTCCCCGCATTTCTCCACACGACCGAACACCACAACAACGACCGTTGCTCACAATGGTGATTTCAACAGCAATTCGCATTGCGCCATCGCGCGCAGCTCGCGCCCTCAACCTCCTCCGAACCGTACAATACACACATCCTCCATCATGCCCCTGCCATTCGAACCCCAACTACCATCAGTCGCCGTCTACCGTCCAGCAAGCTCGGCGGCATCTCGCAACGCCCCTCGATCATTCCCAGCAAAAGGAATATGCATTCGAAATGGCAGCATCGAGTATACGATTTGGACCTGGATGTACAAAGGAAGTTGGCATGGACTTCAAGAACATGGGCAGTAAGCGCGTCATGGTCGTCACAGACCCCAACGTGAGGAAACTAGACGCAATGAAGCAGGTCATTGAAGGTCTGGAGAGAGAAGGTGTGACATACGAGGTCTTTGACAAGGTCAGAGTAGAGCCAAAGGACCACAGCATAATGGAAGCCATCAACTTCGCGAAGCCATGGAAACCAGATGCGTACCTAGCTGTTGGCGGTGGTAGTGTCATTGATACAGCCAAGCTGATGAACTTGTACACAACCTTTCCCGACGCAGAGTTCCTAGACTTCGTCAACGCGCCTTTGGGCAAAGGAATGCCAATTCCGTCAAAGCTCTTTCCGCTTATCGCTGTACCAACCACTGCGGGAACTGGTTCTGAGACGACTGGTACTGCTATCTTCGATCTAGTTTCCAAGCGAGCGAAGACTGGTATCGCGCATCGCAACCTGAAGCCCACTTTGGGCATAGTTGATCCGCTGAACACACGTACCATGCCCTCTGCTGTGCACGCATCTTCAGGTCTCGACGTACTGTGCCATTCTCTCGAATCGTGGACCGCAATCCCATACTACGAGCGCACTCCACGACCCACCAACCCCCTCAACCGTCCAGCCTACCAGGGCGCGAACCCAATCTCCGACATTTTCTCTCTCAAGGCCCTGAAAGACACAGTCAAGTACCTGCCCCGTGCGGTGAAAGACCCCGATGACCACGAGGCTCAGTCGCAAATGTTGCTTGCCGCAACCCTCGCTGGTGTAGGTTTCGGTAACGCAGGTGTGCATCTCTGCCACGGCATGTCGTACCCCATCTCAGGCCAGAACCCTGGATACAAACACTCGGGCTACGACGTCGACCACACCATCATCCCACACGGTGTCAGTGTCGCAGTGACCGCGCCTGCAGTCTTCAAGTTCACCGGCGCATCGAACCCTGAGCGACATTTGGCCGCGGCCGAAGCATTCGGTGTCGATATCTCGAACGTCAAAGCAGAGAGCGCGGGAGAAGTACTGAGTGAGGCGCTCGCGGAGTTCTTGGTCAAGCTTGGTGACCAACCACGTGGGTTGAAGGCGCTTGGGTTCGGGAAGGAGCATTTGGATCAGCTGGTTGAGGGTACCATTCCCCAAGCGAGAGTGCTGATGTTGGCGCCTAGTTTGGAAATGCAGAATATTGATGCCGAGAGGGAGCAGTTGCGGGGTTTGTTTGAGGATGCGATGGAGTATTGATAAAATACCGGTGGACATCTAGGTACGCAGTGCAATTTGTAAAATTCGCAGTTTCAAATACAACTGATTTAGCATTTGAAGACAATCGATCTGCAAAGTACTAGCCTCACATTACTACACTATCCATGAATAGGTATCGGGGTTAGCAGGCCTTCTTTAACGCCTGCTCAACTCTGCGCAACTCTGCGCAACTGCTATCGGCGCCCACTTGCTATACACTGGCATCAAAGACGAGAACGACACGGCAAAAAAGCCCTTAAGCATTGCGACGGCTTCTCATCGCGCAATCGCTGCCCGCCAGCTGCATGTATCTCGCTATTGAGTACGTCATCTTACACGTTCCTCACTGCCGGGCGTAGGCGAGTCACATGCAAAGATGATGCACAGCCCCGCTGTGGGTGGTACAATGAGGGGCCAGATGGCACAACTTCTGAATTGCAACCGATGTGACTCTACTCAGTTTCTCCATGCTCGGCGCCGCTATCTAAAGCGCAAAATCTTATTCGACACCATCACATTTCGCGGCTCATGATTTGAACCAGTACAGCAACGATGGAAACACTTGCCGTCATAGGTCTGGTCGCCAACATCGTACAATTCGTCGATCTCAGTGTTCGTGCCATTAAGTCTATTGATGAGATACGACAATCTGCACGCGGCATGACGAAGGAGACGGAAAGTCTAGAGACAGTTACCGAGACGATGCGCGATTTCAGCGTACGAATTGTGTCCAATACAATCAATCCAAAGACAGATAATGAGCAAGCGTTATGCGGTCTTGCTAACGAGTGCGGCGAGATCTAGTAAAAAATCCTGGTCATCACTCAGTCTGTCGCATGCCGCAAAGGCAAATCTAAAAGATTTCTTATCCAGTCTATAATCAAAAGTCATTACTACCGTAGTGAGCTGGAGCAGCTGAACCAGAGACTTGAACGTTGTAAGGGACAGCTGAATCTATTCTTGTCTAGTCTGAATAGGTATGGACCACGAGCTGTTCTTTGATCGTTTACTGATTGAGGAAGCGCCAAAATACAGCAACAGTTGACGGATCTCTCCCTTACTGCTGATTCAAACAATTCAATACTCCAAAAGGTCGAGGAGCAGACGTCGAAACTTCAGAGAGGCGTCACAGTCACCTCGTTCAGCAAAGATGCACAGCAACAAATTCGATCGTTACTAGGAACCTCGCAAGATGAAGTAACAACAGAGGCACAACATCAAATTCGTCGAGGTCTCTCCTTTGAGCTCATGCGATATCGCGAAGAAGCCATAATGCCAGCAAACTCCGAAACTTTCCAATGGTTGCTAAGTGGAAGAGCGACTTCAAGCGCTGAGCTCACCACGAGAGCGCGAGAAACGTTTCTCCAGTGGCTTTCTTCCGGCTCGGGTATCTTCCACATATGTGGCAAACCAGCTTCTGGAAAGTCAACGATGATGAAGTTTCTATACAATGATCGACGCACACAAGAAAGACTGGTGTCTTGGGCGGGTGAGCGCTATATATAACTCTTGACTGGACTCACACTGAAATATGTTCAGGATCTTCGAAGCTGGTCCGCGCCCGGTTTTTCTTCTGGAGTCAAGGAGCCTCAAGCACTTACTCCATCCACGGCATGAAGCGAAGCCTCTTACACGACATATTGGAAGCGTGCCCTGAGCTTGTTCCTGTCATCTTCCCCGACGAGTGGTTGGCCATCAACTCCGAGACTGCGCCGAAAAATCTCAAATTCGAATTCACCGTGAGTCAGGTTCATGATGCTTTTGGTGTTCTTCTAGATCTTCACCAAATCTACGAAAGGCACCGTTTCTGCATCTTCGTTGATGCTCTGGATGAGTTGCAAGAGACCCACCCCAAAGATCACTACAATCTGGTGTGTATGCTCCAGGACTGGGGAATTGCTTCCAATGGCAATGTGAAGTTCTGTGTGTCTAGTCGAGAGTATGCAGTCTTCGATGGCACCACATCAGGCGACCACTGGATACGTGTTGAAGATATGAACCGTGAGGACATATCTCGATTCGCCAGAGACAAATTTCGGTTCTTTGTTGAAGATGAAGTAATTCGGGAACGCTGCGTGAAGGCAATTGCTTCTAGGGCTGAGGGTGTGTTCTTGTGGGCGCAACTCGCGATCCAGACCCTCCAACGCTCCTATGATGAGGGTGATACTCTAGATCCAGACCGACAGCTTGATCAAACGCTGCTTTCGACGCCATATGCATACCGTCATTGGTTTTCGACGAAGAGCCGGAAAGGGCGTCAGATCTACGCTATGATAGCTCTCCTTGCCAAGGAAGGCGCGATGCTACCACTGTTCTCTTGCTCCTTCCTCGAACTGTATTCGCGCGACCCAAAAACCGGGATTGGACAGGGGACTACGATACCCGATGCACAAAAGATCGGCCCGGGCGAGCAAGAGACTTGGATGGACGACTGGAACAGCAAAACGCGAAAGTTGGTAGAAGACGAATGTGGGCATTTAGTCAGCATTACGAACGTGCGGCAGGGAAACGGAGCCCTCGACTCGTGCATCACATTCACTCACCAAAGTGTACTGCAGTTTCTAGACTCGCCGGAAGCTCAGGCTGGCATATCGGGTACTATGGCTGACTTCGACACCGTCGACGCTATCTCTCAGCTACTTTTAGCGACTCTGAGATATGCAGATAAACAGTTCGACCCAGCGCAATGGTCGACGCTCATTCGCGCCCTTTCCTGTGTACGTACGCGCAGCAGCCTGGACAAGGCGCCATACCATTTCCTGGAGCAACTGGAAATGGTTATCTATCACAAGATCGGGCAGCCTTTGTCCGTCAGTGAAACGAGAGATGCCGAGATTACTGGGCTGTTGTGGAATCCCAAAGACGGTCCACTTACAGTTGCGTTCCGTGGAAACACTGGGGAATTCTCAAGCCGACTGTATTGCCCATTGGTCTTACCAATATATCTATACGCCGGTCTGGGCAATGTTGAGTACGTCGCATGGAAGCTCCGCCGCGCCCCAAGATTTCCACGCAGCTATCACGACGGACAGATCATTTTGACGTGTCTATTTTCCAGCATAGAAGCGTCATTACCGGATCCAGTGCATCTCCTCGACTGCGTGTCGCTGTTACTGGAAGACGGCTACACGCTATCGACGTATCGACTGGTTTCTCAACTAATACAGCTTCAATGTCGATCGAAAGATTCTGCTTTACAGGATTACAAAGATCGGAAAGCCCTGATTGGCAAAGCTCTCGAGATGATCATGCGACGTTCTCCGAGCAAAACCATTCCAAACCTTCTTCTCGAGTATGCTTTGGAAGAAGGTTGCGAAGGTACCACAGGAGAACGTGTAAAAATATGGATGACTTCGGATATGATTCCGACTGCTGTTTTACAAAATGAGTATGTGGACTGGAAAGATGCCCCATCTTTGGCGAAGATCATCAATAGCGGAAAGCGACGCGTCCCGCTGCGGAAATTGGTCCAGTACTGCCAGTTCGACAACGGAAGAGAACTCCTACGCTTAGTGGATACTATGGCCAGGCCCCCGGGATACTTTAAGCGTGTCTGGTATGGTAATGAAACCTCGATCTTCGTCATCGCATGTTTGTTCGGTAAGAGTACCTAGGTGGTGGAGATAGCTGAACAGGCTGCTCTTTGACGATTAGCTAACACCAACAGGACTGCTGATTGCGATACAATGGTTCAAAAGTGGTGCCTTTCCAGCTCCCGGTTCATTGACTTGCTCTTCCGAAATTGCTCCAGTGTTAGGAACATTATAAGAAGCGATGCCAATGCGATCGCGCTAGCTCTAAGAAGCCCGCTCACAGTATCACATTTCTCAATCTACCGAGGGAAGTCGACGCGTTGTCCAATAGATGTAGCTGTGCTTAATACCTCTTCTTTCAATGGCATGGCGATGCTTTTGCTCAATTTCCACACGAAGATAGCGTTTTTCGCGATACGTCCTTGTGGTTGTCCACCACTATTACCTACATTAACCACGTAAGTATGAGTCGTATGTAATTCGGGAGGTGTAGTTGGCTCCCCGCCCTCGGACGTTGCAGTACCATGGGATGCAGGTGATGAGATCAGAGCGAGGGTACAAGATGACGCCGTGGATGGTAATACCGGAACCCCAACTCGACTATGCGAACGAACTTGACTGCCTCATTCTTACTACTTAAGCTCGCACTTTCCGCCAATACTCTTGTCTATCAGCCATCAGATCTGCAGCCATTGCCGGTTCGGATATCAGCAAGTATTATCCGTGTATGAACTGTCGTGAGACATTCACTAACTTCAGACGTCCGTCATTAGGCAACACTTTTCAAACATTGAATATACTGGGTGGCTCAAGATGGCACAACAGTGGGTAGCAAGGACAGTCCTCCAGACCTTAGTAGCTAACTGGGAAAAAGACCCCAGACAGGTTCATCGATTTTGGGCAACATTCCCGTGTACGTCGACGAGGCTCAGGAAGAATACGATGAGAACCTTTATCAGTATGTAACATCATTGCGTTATCTGAGAGGCAGTTATTGACATCAGGTAGCGCATCGAATCGACTGCGCGGCTGTTACTCGGTCGTCAACGCTCTTTTTGATCTGGGTTGTAACCAAAGCATGACTATGCGTTCATCATATGAACGCGAGCGTGCCTTTAACGCAGCTCAAGACATGGCTCAGGATGAAATTGACCGAACGCAACCCGAGGTCACCCGTCTTATCTCGAGTCATGAGGCGAAACCTTGCCGTGCATTGTTTGGGGATGTAGAACGCCTACCGACAGAGCTTCGTAAGATGATCAATGGGTTCATCTGGCAGGATCAACGCGTCCAGCTGGACACTTATAAGAAGGATCCAGAGAACCCCACCATCGTTCTTTCCACAACGGAACGGAATAAAAGAACGCGTTGGCCTTACGACTGCCTACTGAAGCCCGACTACTTCACCACCGACGATCCAACAAGGCTCGAGCTAGTCAAAGCGTGGTACGAGTCCAGTACCTTCCTTGTCAAGAATCCCGCCCTCATCGATAGGTCTCTCGAAAAGTTTCGTTGGGGCTCCAACCTGAGACCGCTCGAATACATCAAAAAATTCGAGATGAACGTACGGATTACTGGAGACACTGCTGAGCAGGCGGAAATGGCGCGAAAAGTGCAGTTGCTCGCACTAAATGTAGATCGATCCGCTACCATGACGATCATCCTGGAGAATCTTCAAGAGCGTGTGCAAGCGGGTGATTCAGTGGAGGATTATATGAGAAATGCGGCATGCATGTTTCCCATATTGGAGAATTTGACACAGCCACACGTGGGATTCAAGTTCATAGTCCGTTCCAGGTTGGGCAGGTGCAACGTTAAGTTTGCGGTAGTACACGAGGAGATTACTGTACAAGATTGGACTGATAAGGTCGAGGAGGCGACGCGCGGATTCGTACTTGAGTAGCGCATGGTGTAGCTTACGGCTTTGGCTTTTCATTGTTTACTTGTTGCCTGGATCGTACCTACCTACATAGTATAGCTTACACTTTAAAGTGGTACAAGTGCTTTATTTCCTCACCACCCGCACTTGTTATCATTTCGTCAATTCTGCACTCAACTTCACAGTATAGCACTATGTCAACGAGCCTCGACAGTATCCTTCCAGAAGCGGAGCCAACTCATATTCCTAGCGATGCGCGACTCCCTGCTGGGAAGGTGTAAGGCTCATCATACAAATTTCACTAGCGGCAACTGACGAAATCTGACAGAAAATTCGAGCAGGCGGCTACATCAAAGCATGAAAAACCAAGTGTCGCTGGGGAGAATACTGTATCCGCCACTGTCGACGAAGACCGGGAGTATCTTCAGACGTACGCGCCATTTGGGGTGGGAAAGAACAACGACTGACCTCCAACAGCGCGTTGAAGAAGCTCAAAGTCCTCAAGCGAATTATAGACGCGCGAGTCGGAGAATTGAATGCCGAGAATCACATCTTCTGTCTACGCAACAGTTTTCCAGTCAAGGAGCCTTCTCACGAAACCGGTCGATACCAACGGATGTTCAGACTCCAGGAAGAAGCCCGGAATATTGCTAGTGAGATCGATCGCCGTATGCAGCGCTATGCAGCGGCGCAGTGTCTCCCTATCTGCACTATGGTCTGCAACAAATTACCCCGCGAGCTTCGCGACATGATATACCAATACATCATTGGGGAGTCGATCGTGAGGATTGATAAGGAGGTACTGAAATCTTTCCTCTTTTGTTCCGAAATCGGTGTCAAGCCCATGCTCCCCGCAGGATTCACGAATCGCACCAACATTGCCTACGAGCACCTCTGGGATCAAGACTACTCCGGCAAGCTCTTCTACTCCGAGCTTATCGAGGCCTGGTACCGCAATACAATGTTCTCCTTCGTCGAATGTCGTCTCGTCCCTGACTTCCTCAACAATCCGCGCTTCGGCTACGGTGTACTACCGCGAGAATGGGTGCGCAAGATCAAAATCATCAGGATTACAACAACGGAGAGCGTCCTCTCTATATACAAGGGAGAAGAGAAGGCATATAACATCAAGACCGGCGATCTCGATAATCTCAAAGATCTGCCTAAGCTGACGCGTGTCACGTTTGACTTTGACGCAGCCTTTTCGTCACTCCCCACGTATCACGACAACTATAGGCGATTTGTATTAACGGATCTGAAGGAGATGTTTCCAAAGATTCAAGATCTAATAGATAGGGAGTGTAGGGTATCGGTAGTGTTCTCCAGTATGGGGCCGCTCGAAATGCGAAGGGATGAGCTTACTTCTCGAATATGGGAGGATAAGCTGGAGGCTATCAGGCCTGATTAGACAAAGTACATAACACCCAAAAGGGCAGCCGGACGGCTACATCTACCAAGTGTTATTCCCTTGTACTGTATTATGTTATTGTCGTCTCCTGGCTGAAGTCGAACGAACCTGAAGATCCCCTTCACTTGATCTTTCCCTGCGCGCGTCGTCGTCGGCGCGTCCCCGCGTTGCCCGGTCACTCACCTTCACCACCACGCCAGTGACCGCAAATTCACGCTCCTTCCGCAAACAGAACGCCCACACCCTTCCAGACTTTTCCAACGCGCGTCATCGCCACCCATTACTCAGCCCCGGCGCCGGATCAATCCCCCGCCGCGCGCCCACACTGGCTATATAATCTCGCCTGCCCCCTCCCTCCCACCTGGTTTCTTTTCCTTACCTTGAACTCAAAACTGCAATCGTCGCTCTTGTTCGCATAGACGACCCAATTGCGGTTTTACTCCTCGCTTTCTCGCGCTGACGTGAGAGAGTCATGTGGTTCAAGGTCATACCGCTACGGCGGTCGCTTGGCCTTAGGGACAAGCTTTGCGACCTTACGGGGTTCAATGGACACACTTTCATCGGAACCCATACCTACACATCCTTATGGGTGTCGCTTATCCACGGAGAAGCTGTTTTGAATCTCTCAGCTCATACTATCGCACACTCGGGGCGTACGCAAAAGCTGCTACGGCAGTGCTACGCCGGTTTGCGTGGTTTGACTGAGACAAGAATCTACGGATCCCTTGGCTGACAATTCCACACACTTGGGAGCGTCGGCGTTTCATCTGTTTGGGCTACTGACGGCTACGTCAGTCGCGAGAAGCTGCGAGAAGGCGTCTTCTCGCAGGGGATTGTTGATCCATTGCTGAGGGTGGGAGGGAGGGGGAGAAGCTTTCATGACCATCCAGCTCATTCTTTCGCACACTCGGAGAAATGAGCAAGGTTGGCATGATTGACAAGACATGGATTCACGCATCTTGGCTGATCTGTCCCACCGACTTGGGAACGGTAGCCAGTCGTGATGACATGTACTTGAGGGAATATGGGGAGGGTGGGAGGGTTTGTGACATGGTGTGGTTTGTGGATGGGGTGGGTGGAGGGGGTTTTGATATGGTTGGAGGGTTAGAGTTGTGGTATGGGTGTAGATAGTAGATAGAGTAGAAGAACGTCCATTCTTCTACACAACGCTGTTCTGTCGTGAGTGCTTACTAAAAACCCCCAACTTAAACTGAATTTGTTCGCTAAATGTTACCTCGCGTGTGCTTAGATTGCTACAAGATATCGCCCACTTCGTGTCGTGCGATCAGAAGACGAAGTAGGCGGCTCACACATGGTCTCGCGAAAAGTTCCAAGGGGATTGTGTTTGCTACATGCGTTCCAACGCAGTGAAGGTTCTTAAGCTGGAAGTAAGAAGATAATATGCGCAGAGAACTTGAATCACGTACGAACACAGTGTAAAACCTTTAGCGAATCCTAATACAAGAGGACACGACATAACGCGACACGATCTTGTGGATATTGTCGATTCTGGCAAGCATCACCACTTCAACGCCCTATCTCGTGATGCGAAAGTTGTTCTCTTGGTATTCTCCAAATACCACACCGCAAGAGCAAAGTCATGAAAGCGCGCAGTATCAAGTGGTCTTCCTATACTTGTTAATGCTCGTAGTGGGCGCACGGAGTAGACATTGCCATGCATGCCACATTACGCACCAGACTCAGCGGCCACTATATCGACCCGCTTCCTTCTTCCCACTGCTTTCATACTACATTCAAACATGCTCTAGTGTTTCTTCACGTTCTCGCCGCTTGATGCCATCCTACTCTCGCTTCGCCTTCTTGGCATCCACTAGATTTCAAAAAGTCCAAAAATACAACACCATCACCAACGACCTCAAAAAAGAAACAACTCCAACGCTGTGTCAACGTTGGGAATTGTTGCAAGCCCGACGTGGGGGTCGAACCCACAACCTTGAGATGAACCAATCGAGTCTAGTTAGGACGTGAAAGCTAAGAGTCTCACGCTCTACCGATTGAGCTAGCCGGGCTGATATATTGGCTTCGGCAGAATTAACGTGTAATGATTGACTGTTGTAGAGGCTGGATTGGGGCACTGCGGGCTTGAGAAGCTTGTAGCATCTGGTGTGAGGTGTTCAAATTGGGCGTGGTAAAGGTAGTTTGAAGTTTTTTTCCTCTTCGGCGGATATACGGCTACACTCAAGGAAGGTATGCCAGCGGAGAGCGACCATTATGTTCATATGCGAATACATGGCATGTATACATGGCAATGCTACGAATGAGCAAGATGCGCGAATGGGAAGCAGAGGTAGTAATACCTACCCCCCACTTACACACCCTCCACACCTAGCCTCAGGCACAGATACACAATCCATCACAACACATGCCACCTTCGCTATCGCTGTCTTTACCCCTGCGTGTAACAAAAAGGCACATGGTCACTGTCAAAAATACAATACCTCAACAGTTCACAGCAGGTCAGCACTACACCCAAGCGAACACTCGAATGCTCAATTCGCGACACCGACAGGACCCACATCGGCGGTCATGCACGTACCCGCAGAGCCTCAACACCCTCCTCCGACCCCCGATTACAGCCGCCTCCATATCCAATATCCAGTAGTGTCAAATCCCATCGTCTCACCTATCATTCGTTCGGAGTCGGCACGGACAGAGTTCATACACCAGCTATCGTTCGATAGCGTGCCCTCGCACAAGACTCCGAAGTGGCTGGACTGTGGATACAGCAAAGTCTTTGCTTCGGAGTCGAAGTGAGACAGCGATGGCAACGGTGGTTCGCGATGGGGTTAGGTTACAAGCTTCGATATACGCGGCCGGTGAAAACTAGCGGCGCGGAGGTCGTGTTGGTGGTTGCAGTTGTATGCAGTCTGCGTTATGCGAGGGTGATGCTTCTTCTCGAAGCGGCGCTAATGCAGAGTCTAGAAGGGCGTGAGAGTACATGCCACATGCGATTCACCGCGCGATTATTCTCGGGAGGATTGGGATAGGCTGGGAGACTTGGGTAGTTGCCGTTGTTTTTCGATACGCCGAACACGTTGTCTAAGCGTAGAGCAGGCGTAAGCCGGAGGCATCGCATCGGAGGTTAGCTGGCATCGGTGGTTTGTAGGGCTATGGGTTACTTCGCTTGGGACTGGAGAAACCGAGCCGAGCCTCCGAGGATAGACTATCGTTGTCTTACCATGCCGGAAGGAGTAGCCCACTAGCATCCATCGCAGTCTAAACGAACGAAAGATAAACTAGACTCGTTGCGAGTAAGTTGATACCGGTGTAACGTTGCCCCTCAAACCACCGCTTGCGTGGCGGTGAAAAATGGCTGTGGCTCAGATACTCGAGAGGCTCGAGCCGAGCATTCACCGTTGTGGGTCGCAGACGCTGTCAGCTGCGGACATGGAACATGGCATTTCAACTCCATGCCATATCCACATGTACAGAAATAACCGAGAAGTTCTGGACTCGCGGGAACTACTCGTTGTGCGCTTTACAGTGGACCTTTTTATCGGAAATGTACGGGTGAGATTGAGAATTGTTCTCGTCCGCGCATCTGCAACCCTTAACTGCGGAGTACAGCCAGACATGTGACAGCAAAAGACAACGGGAACTATGCGAGGATTTACGCCCCCAAGGTGGAGATAATGATCCTTGTAGAGCGAGTAGAATTCGAGATGTTGCATGCGAGCTTTACTTTGATGGGGAAGGATCATGACAATGTGACTTGCAAAACCAACTAAAGAAAAGAAAAAACTCCTCTTCATTCAGACTCGTGCAGATATCACGTCCGATGTAACAGTGCTTTGGGTAGCAATGCAGGTACGTACCTGCCATTTTGATTCCGTTGAAACAATAACCCTGGCTGCGCTCGTGAACTTGCGTTGCTTGCGTGTCGGTGGAGCTCGGCAAGCACCGCACACATGCGCGCCCGCGCAGGTTTGGCACGTGAAACTCGGTTCATGCATGCATGCGTTCGCAAGTCAGCGTCCGTCGGATTTACCGACATGAATGTGCTGCAGCGTCGACAGCTACGCATGAGTGACGCTGTTCATGAGGAAATGGATACGATTGTGTGATTCGTGCATACTCCATCCCCAATGCGAGCACAATGACGCATGAATCAGCTCAATCGATACATTCAACACCCTGCACGCATGCGCGTCAACGCGTCGCCAGCCTCGCGAGTACCGAATACGGAAGACTCGTCTCTAATGGCCACCGGAAGGATAACAAAGCTTGTTGCGCGGCGATGCCAAATAGCTCTAGGCGTAAACGATGTAATATTCTCTGGGGCTTCTAGAAAATCTTCGCTTGTGTGTGACGATGGCAAAAGGCGAAAAGGGCTGAGATCCGCTGACAGCCAATCGATCCGGTGGAGCGGAGGGGCTGTTGGCGCTGGCGATAGCGACTCCACACCACTTGCGGGCACCAGAGGTCTTGTTGAGAGAAACATCGATATTGGTGGTGAGGCCTAGCCATGCCAATCAGCAAACTACCATCGCTATTTCGTCAGCGCGATCTTGTTGGATTTCTTGTGTGACGTATGAGCAGCTCTGTTGAAGCAAGCCAACAATCCTGCCGCAACATGTCTTGTGTTGGGGAGCTGAACAACCCTGAGGCTGACAAAGACATATCTTTCGCGCTGTAATTTACCAGTGTTCTGCATTTAGCCTGCCTAGGGAGAGGTTTGACCCGGTTTACCCAATCCAGTAACTTGATGATCGACGTCTTGGGCCTTGGTACCTGCATTGGATCCGGTGTGTACGTCATGGATCCTAAACTCCATGACGAAGCTCTAGCAGGTTCACCCCAGAAAAGGGATATGCTTTCTACCCCATGATGTGTTGCGACCCATTGTCTCCAGATTGTAACAGGTTCGTGACCAGGATCTCGCGGCTTCTGGCAAGTGAGGCGCATTGATGACAGCATCTCTGATGCAGCGAACAACCATGGAAGCAACTGATGCGAAAAGGGTCTTCGCGTCGAGGGTC